TGGGCAACGTGCTCCTGTAAAGCATGTAACCGTATAATAAACGTATTCTATTCTTTCAGAGCTCTTGCGGGCCACATTAAAAGAAGTCTCTGAGTTTGACCCCCCTGACATAATGTATTAAACTGACTCAGAATAAGGGTCTGATCAGAACTTTGTTTGTCTCTTCTGTTGAACCCTCAGAGTGCGGCGGGAAGAACTTCCACTTCGTGCACGCCTCGGCGGATGTTGAGAGCGTGGTGAAGGGGACGATCCGCTCAGCGTTCGAGTACGGAGGGCAGAAGTGCTCGGCCTGCTCCAGGATGTACGTCCCCGACAGCATATGGCCTCAGATCAGAGACCAGCTGCTGGACATCATCCGGCAGCTCAAAGTGGGAGACGTGAGTCTGCTAAAGTCATGCTTAAAGGGGACCTATCATGCAAAATGCACTTGTGTACGTCTTTTCTACATGAATATGTGTCCCCGGTGTTCCAGGGAACTCACCAAGTGTCAGAAAACACAACCCTCTCTATTTTCCTCCATACCCAAATCTCTAAAAAAGGGGCTGCAACGGATCTGATAAAAACTGATCCAGATTTGAACACCGTCCTGACGTCAGGACGGAGACGCTGTAGTACATATGCCAGGCCTGTAGATGGTGCTGTTCTCACTGAACACTTCTATGACTTCTATAACACTAACAATGATTCTCTGGTTCTGCCCTCAGCCGGTTGAAGACTTCAGCACCTTCTTCTCAGCTGTGATCGACGACAAGGTGAAGCTTCCTTCAGTGGCTTTTCAAAATAAAGTCCTCTTATTTGTGTTTATTATTATTAATCTTTTATTATCTGCTGTATTTCTGTAGTCGTTTGCTCGGATAAAGAAGTGGCTGGATCACGCCAAGTCCTCCCCCAATCTGAAGGTCATCGCTGGGGGAAACTATGACGACAGCAAGGGGTACTTCGTGGAGCCGACCATCATCCAGACCTCCGACCCGAAGGACGCCATCATGAGCGAGGTCACTTCCTGTCTATAATCACACTCGCACGCCACTTCCTGTATATAATCACACTGGCACGCCACTTCCTGTCTATAATCACACTGGCACGCCACTTCCTGTCTATAATCACACTGGCACGCCACTTCCTGTCCATATTCACACTTCCAGGCCACTTCCTGTCCATATTTCCTGTCCATATTTACACTAGCACGCCACTTTTTAAACAATTTTATTTTGCAGTCAGTTCTTGTCGCTTTTATTTTGAAAGGAGTTCACAGCTGCTTTTATTTTGAAGTCAGTTCTTGTCGCTTTTATTTTTAAATGACTTCTTGATGCTTTTTATTTTGAAGTGAGTCCTTGGCCACTTTATTTTGAAGTCAGCTCTTTTTGGCTTTTATTTTGAAGTCAGTTATTTTTGGCTTTTATTTTGAAGTCAGTTCCTGATGCTTTTATTTTAAATGAGTTCACGGGCGCTTTTATTTTTAAATGAATTCACGGGGCGCTTTTTTTTAATGTCAGTTCTTGATGCTTTTATTTTAAATGAGTTCACGGGCGCTTTTATTTTTAAATGAATTCACGGGGCGCTTTTTTTTAATGTCAGTTCTTGATGCTTTTATTTTGAAATGACTTCTTGGTGCTTTTTATTTTGAAGTCGGCTCTTTTTGGCTTTTATTTTGAAGTCTGTTCTTCTTTTTATTTGACTCTGAAGTGAGTCCTTGGCCACTTTGACTTTGAAATGAGTTCAAGGCTGCTTTTATTGTGAAGGCAGTCCTCAGGGATATATATATGGCCAGGGGTGCACATAACTGGTACGCAGGTACGCATGCGCGGCAACAATCTGAAATGCGTAACGTCACTTGTGTCACAACGCGCCTTTGCGTACCTGATAGGTCATCAAAACAAAACACATATTTCGCCTACACGTGTTTCTTGTCAACACTCAGTGGAGTAAATTATTAGACATGTCCAAAAAAAACAAAGACATTAAGCAGCCACTTTGCCGTTTCGCTCCCTGCTAAAATCTTCAGACTTTCTATGACTGATTGAACTGGGTGCTGGCTGTGCCGCGCAGGACATAACCGACGGACCTGTGAAGCTTCACAGGAGGCAGAGGCTTAGATCACTGGACGACAGAGTTGGTCGCCGTGTGCACAGACGGGGCTGCTGTTAACGTCGGTGTGTACAACAGAATTGTACCAAAACGACGTCAACTGGCTGCGGTGGGAGACTCCCCTGTGCACATTCTGTGCCCCGCGCACACACTGGAGAACTGCGCAAAATCAGCTGATCACAACGTTCACGCTCTGTGGTCAAGCTGCTGCAGTTTTATTTACAACAAAGTGGAGTAAAACACACAGCTGCCTGCAAACTTACTCAGGCTGTTAATGGAAGAGTTTGAAATCAGACAGAGGTGGAAGAAGTGTTACTCAAGTAAAATTAGAAAAGTATTATCATCAAAATCTAGTTAAAGTAGCGACAGTAAAAGTAGTCATTTTGCAGATTGGTCCATTTCATAATAATATATATGATATGTTTTATAATGATTGATCATGAAAGTGTTCTCAAAGCTGGTAAAGGTGCAGCTAGTTTGAATGACTTTGTATACTGCAGGGTAGCTTGTGGATTTACTCCAGGTGGAACTAAAGTCTGATTTAACACTTGATTATATGTTCACATCATTCATCCACATCTGTAAAGTAACTAAAGGTATTAAATACATGTAGTGGAAGAAAAGTACATGATGTACCTCTGAACTGTAGTGGAGTAGAAGTACAAAGTAGCATAAAATAGAAATACTCAAGTAAACTACAAGTATCTTAAATTGTACCTAAGTACAGTACTTGAATAAATGTACTTTGTTACTTCCCTCCTCTGAAATCAGATATGACTTCAAGTCATGTGATCATTTCTTAGTATTTGATCCTTCAACTTGGCCTCAGGAAATGCAAGGACTTCACAGTTTTGGCAACAAGTTTTGGAGAAAGCAAATTGGAGGCTTACAAAGAGACAGGGAGGTGCATCTTCATCATCTTCATCATCTAGCATGCAAGAAGTGTAAATAGAGGACAGTGAAGGAGACACTGAGGAGGACAGTGAGGAAGACTGCACTTATTAACACCACGCTTCATGTGGGGTGAGTACCAAACGCTGTCTCCTGGTACTCATCTGAGTAACTCACTCAAAAAGTTATGTGCACACCTGTATATGGCCCTCTGCTTCAGGAGAACAGTTGCTGGATGTTCTTGTGTTTTGTGTTTCAGGAGGTCTTCGGTCCGGTTCTCTCGGTGTACGTTTACCCCGAGAAGGATTACAGAGAGGTTCTTCAGCTGATCGACAGCACGTCTCCCTTCGCTCTGACGGGCGCCGTGTTCGCTCAGGACAAGTGAGCGTCTCCAGATATTTACCTGTTTCTGTCTCTAACAAGTGCTCCGGACTCTGAGGAAAATATTCCTAGTGGCCAAACGGCAGTACTGTATCAAAATTAAATACGGTTTATTGCGGTTAAAAACAAACGGATGAATGTTTATGGAGGCACTTAACAGAGCTCAGGCGTTTAACAGTCTTATGTAGGGCTGTGCAATTAATCGTATATTAATCTCGATTACGATTTTGGCTTGCAACGAAAACAATGTAATCGAAATAAAACAATTATTATTTTTATTTAAAATAAAAAAAATTGTAATTATTATTTTTTTTAATTATTTTTTTTATTGGTTTTTCAGTTGAATTATACTTAAAGTTCAGGGTAATCAACTGTTCAAAACATTTTTTTCAATAAATGGATGTTTTCAAAGTAAATGGATAATCGTTTGTAATAATCGTGATATCAATTATTGACCAAAATAATCGTGATTATGATTTTTGCCATAATCGCACAGCCCTAGTCTTATGGCTTGTGGGATAACACTGGTCTGGTGGTTTTAATCCGATGTTCTGTGACTGGATGCAGTACCAGTAGTGACCTGAGGGGGTTTCATTGTGCTCATCATCATGTGTTCTCTCCAAGCCCCAAAGAAGTTCTCCGGACTCTGAGGAAAATATTCCTAGTGGCCAAACGGCGGTACTGCAACTTCCGTATCGGTCCATGACGTCCCCCGGCCCAGAAAGACTTTTTCCCATTGACTAACATGGGGAAAGAGACGTCTGTAAATCAGTGGATACTTTTTTTAACTAAATAAACTACCCAGTACGAACAGCAGCTCTCATAGAAAAGAACAAGCCCCGCCTCCAACGCTGTATCCAGATCTTATTAAACATCCATGGTCTGTTGTTTTCCAAACCAGTTTAGATGTAACCAACCCGTGTGTGTGTGTGTGTGTGTGTGTGTGTGTGTGTGTGTGTGTGTGTAGGCAGGTGATCGAGGAGGCCTCTGCAGTGTTGAGGAACGCTGCAGGAAACTACTACGTGAACGATAAGTCGACCGGATCTGTTGTCGCTCAGCAACCGTTCGGAGGAGCGCGGGCTTCAGGTAATAACGTTTAATTATAGTTCATTATATTATACCAGGAGAGAATACATTTAGATAAATAAAGTGTCACGAAGGAGCTTTAGATATATATACAGATCGAGCAATAGATATATGGATAGTGATATAAATAGATACATATATAGATATACACATAGATATCTACAGATGCAAATACACCTGTAGATAAACAGATATATGGATATACAGATAATATAAGAATTACTTTATTGATCCCAATTTGGGAAATGTTTGCGTTGCAGCAGCATAAACAGACATGGCATTGTACAATAGAGAAATTAAAAGACAAGAAATCTCAAATAGAAATAGAAGAGCATCAAAAAAAGTAGAAAATATACATGTTGAAATACAAATGTACAGTAAACATGTAGAGCAGGATATTATATAAACATTAGGTGTGTGAGGAATGGAATATTAAATATTACAATGAATATAATAATAATAATAATAATAATAATACATTTAATTTTTATGGCGCTTTTCCTAGTGCTCAAAGACGCTAAACAATATAAATGTAAAATGTACAGTTTGATTTTAAGATGTATAGATGTATAACCCTAATGATCCCCCTCAGGTACGAATGATAAGCCGGGGGGGCCGCACTACGTCCTGCGCTGGACGTCTCCTCAGGTGGTGAAGCAGACTTACGCCCCCCTCACAGAGTGGAAGTACCCCTACATGGACTGACCAATCACAGCCCAGCATCTGACCAGCTGACCAATCACAGCCCAGTATCTGACCAGCTGACCAATCACAACCCTGGATTAGACCAGTCGACTAATCACAGCCCTGCATCAGATCAGCTGACCTATCATAACCTAGCATCAGACCCACCGGCCAATCACAGCCCTGCATCAGATCAGCTGACCCTCTGAACACACGGGGGAAATGGAACGCTCCCTTTATCTCTTCCTCTGCAGTCTGATGCCCAACTTATGTTTAAAATATAATTAGAGCTCAATTAAGTCGAATAAAAGCAATAAAATAACATTTGAGTGTTTTTAAATTAAAAATGCACTGATTCCAGCTCCTGGATGTTTCCTCCTCTGATGATTAACTGGATATTGTTGTGTCTGGACAATGAAAATCATCATTAACACTGAAATGAGAATAATATTTTAGGTCAACACTGGAACATGACGAGTTCCTATATGTTACGTCTCTAAACGCAAAGACACTGTCGTCTATGTGCATTTTCTAATAATTCAATAACTTTTATAGATCGTGTCGCAGTGAAATGTGTCCCCAGTTTCACTTCAATAGAAAATAAATGTGTCTCATGTTGACACGTCATTATTTTTTCAAGGAGGGCTTTTTTTTTCTTCCGTCCTCAAACGAAAAGCAGCTGATTCACTTTATCTTCAGAACGTGCCTCTGTAAATTCAGATAGTTAATTTTGACAATAAATATTAAATTATGAACGTCTGTGTGTCCTTCTTTCTGTGCTTCCTCTATTGTCCTGTGTGGCTGCAGATTTTAAACACTGATCTAAAATAACTTCAACATAATCACAAAAAATCAAATTTCTCATGAGTCAAAACCATTGTTGAGTTTCAAAGATCACTTCCATTTAATTTTAGGTAATCAAATACTTTACAATTAAGACTGATTATGATTGTTGGGTCATGAAGAGCACTCTTTTTTCCTGCAGGTGAACAATCAGACTGAATGAACACAACACAAACACAATATGATATTCTTTCATGATTACTGGTGATATTATGCACACAGCCGCCATCTAGGTTTTTGGTCTTGGCCATCTTGGTTTTTGGTATTGGCCATCTTGGTTTTTGGTATTGGCCATCTTGGTTTTTGGTATTGGCCATCTTGGTTTTTGGTATTGGCCATCTTGGTTTTTGGTATTGGCCATCTTGGTTTTTGGGATTGGCCATCTTGGTTGTTGGTATTGTTCATCTTGGGTTGCGGTCGAATAGTCCATTTAGCTTAGGAACCTTCCTAACGGAGTGAAATGACCCGGAAGTCCCTCAGTGGCAGCCGTGATAAGTGCCGTTCCAATTCTCTAGATTAAAGGAAAGGAGGTTTCAAGCTTCCTTTATAACCTCCTTTAGCTTAGGAACCACTGGACCTCCCTAACCTAAAGGAGAGGAGAACATGCTGCCCCACAATGCCTTGCAGCCGCAGCATTTGCCGTCACACAACAGTCGGCCGTTCACGGAAACATCCGATTATGACCGAGAAATGATATCATGAAAGTTACGGTGCTTATTAAGCATTTTAAAACGTATGTGGTAAGTTGCCAAAGTGCTTTGTTTTGAACGTTCATCAGTATTATAATCAAAAAGAGAAATATGAACGTTAGTTTTTACTGAAATGATCAAATAAAGTCAACATTTCACAGTCTTTACTAAGCTGTGTGGGGTTTGTTCAACTTTTAAAAGATGTTTGAATGGTGATATACACAGTGATAGATGTTAAGGACTAACGTTTATAATAAATACATTTGTATTGATTTTAAGATCTTTTCATACAATCATACGTATTGGGATCATTTGTATTAATGTGGACCGGAGGGAGAGGGTGATGAGCATAAGTTTCACTTTCCTTTTTTATTTCAATTCCAACTTTGGTCATGAAGAATATGTTTCTCTGTTGTCCCCGTTCATAAAGCATAACAGCATCAGAGCACGGTGCAGAGTCTCTAGATGAGTTTACAGTAGTCCCTCGTTCTTATTAAACATCCATGTTGTAGTCCGCTGTATAGAAAACTGTAGTTTCCATAGTTTCCCCACAGCAGCAGACGCACATTCATGGCGTCCGCTGGCGCATCATAAACACGTCGGATAGTGAAAGTGCAGTCGATTCTCTAAAGTACCGCAGTCTCTTCTCCTAAGTCCTTTTGAATTCTCCTATCCACTATCCCTTAACCCCGTGACGTTTCACTCAGAGGAGAGGGATAGACGATAGGGTTAGAACTTAGGAGCTGATTTTTGGACTATTCGACCGCAACCTTGGTTTTTGGCCTTGGCCATCTTGGTTTTTGGTATTGGTCATCTTGGTTTTTGGTATTGGTCATCTAGGTTTTTGGTATTGGTCATCTTGGTTTTTGGTATTGGTCATCTTGGTTTTTGGTATTGGTCATCTTGGTTTTTGGTCTTGGCCATCTTGGTTTTTGACCATAGAAACCTTGGTTTTTGGTATTGGTCATCTTGGTTTTTGGTCTTGGCCATCTTGGTTTTTGGCCTTGGTCATCTAGGTTTTTGGTCTTGGTCATCTTGGTTTTTGGTATTGGTCATCTAGGTTTTTGGTATTGGTCATCTAGGTTTTTGGTCTTGGTCAACTAGGTTTTTGGTATTGTTCATCTTGGTTTTTGGGATTGGTCATCTTGGTTTTTGGTATTGGTCATCTTGGTTTTTGGTATTGTTCATCTTGGTTTTTGGGATTGGTCATCTTGGTTTTTGGTATTGGTCATCTTGGTTTTTGGTATTGGTCAACTTGGTTTTTGGCCTTGGCCATCTTGGTTTTTGGTATTGTTCATCTTGGTTTTTGGTATTGTTCATCTTGGTTTTTGGGATTGGTCATCTTGGTTTTTGGTATTGGTCATCTTGGTTTTTGGTCTTGGCCATCTTGGTTTTTGACCATAGAAACCTTGGTTTTTGGCCTTGGTCATCTAGGTTTTTGGTCTTGGTCATCTAGGTTTTTGGTATTGGTCATCTTGGTTTTTGGCCTTGGCCATCTTGGTTTTTGGTCTTGGCCATCTTGGTTTTTGACCATAGAAACCTTGGTTTTTGGCCTTGGCCATCTTGGTTTTTGGCCTTGGCCATCTTGGTTTTTGGTCTTGGTCATCTAGGTTTTTGGTATTGGTCATCTTGGTTTTTGGTCTTGGTCATCTAGGTTTTTGGTATTGGTCATCTTGGTTTTTGGTATTGGCCATCTTGGTTTTTGGCCTTGGCCATCTTGGTTTTTGGCCTTGGTCATCTAGGTTTTTGGTCTTGGTCATCTAGGTTTTTGGTATTGGTCATCTTGGTTTTTGGTCTTGGCCATCTTGGTTTTTGACCATAGAAACCTTGGTTTTTGGCCTTGGCCATCTTGGTTTTTGGCCTTGGTCATCTAGGTTTTTGGTCTTGGTCATCTAGGTTTTTGGTATTGGTCATCTTGGTTTTTGGTATTGGTCATCTTGGTTTTTGGCCTTGGTCATCTTGGTTTTTGGTCTTGGCCATCTTGGTTTTTGGCCTTGGTCATCTTGGTTTTTGGTCTTGGCCATCTTGGTTTTTGGCCTTGGCCATCTTGGTTTTTGGCCTTGGTCATCTAGGTTTTTGGTCTTGGTCATCTAGGTTTTTGGTATTGGTCATCTTGGTTTTGGTATTGGTCATCTTGGTTTTTGGCCTTGGCCATCTTGGTTTTTGGTCTTGGCCATCTTGGTTTTTGGCCTTGGCCATCTTGGTTTTTGGTCTTGGCCATCTTGGTTTTTGACCATAGAAACCTTGGTTTTTGGCCTTGGTCATCTTGGTTTTTGGTATTGGCCATCTTGGTTTTTGGCCTTGGTCATCTTGGTTTTTGGTATTGGCCATCTTGGTTTTTGGTATTGGCCATCTTGGTTTTTGGTCTTGGTCATCTTGGTTTTTGGCCTTGACCATCTTGGTTTTTGGCCTTGGCCATCTTGGTTTTTGGGATTGGCCATCTTGGTTTTTGGGATTGGCCATCTTGGTTTTTGACCATAGAAACCTTGGTTTTTGGCCTTGGCCATCTTGGTTTTTGGTATTGGTCATCTTGGTTTTTGGTCTTGGCCATCTTGGTTTTTGACCATAGAAACCTTGGTTTTTGGCCTTGGTCATCTAGGTTTTTGGTCTTGGTCATCTTGGTTTTGGTATTGGTCATCTTGGTTTTTGGCCTTGGCCATCTTGGTTTTTGGTCTTGGCCATCTTGGGTTTTTGGTATTGGTCATCTTGGTTTTTGGTCTTGGCCATCTTGGTTTTTGACCATAGAAACCTTGGTTTTTGGCCTTGGCCATCTTGGTTTTTGGCCTTGGTCATCTAGGTTTTTGGTATTGGTCATCTTGGTTTTTGGCCTTGGCCATCTTGGTTTTTGGTCTTGGCCATCTTGGTTTTTGACCATAGAAACCTTGGTTTTTGGCCTTGGCCATCTTGGTTTTTGGCCTTGGCCATCTAGGTTTTTGGTCTTGGTCATCTAGGTTTTTGGCCTTGGTCATCTTGGTTTTTGGCCTTGGCCATCTTGGTTTTTGGCCTTGGCCATCTTGGTTTTTGGCCTTGGCCATCTTGGTTTTTGGCCTTGGTCATCTTGGTTTTTGGTATTGGCCATCTTGGTTTTTGGTCTTGGTCATCTTGGTTTTTGGTATTGGTCATCTTGGTTTTTGGTCTTGGCCATCTTGGTTTTTGACCATAGAAACCTTGGTTTTTGGCCTTGGCCATCTTGGTTTTTGGCCTTGGTCATCTAGGTTTTTGGCCTTGGCCATCTTGGTTTTTGGCCTTGGCCATCTTGGTTTTTGGTCTTGGCCATCTTGGTTTTTGACCATAGAAACCTTGGTTTTTGGCCTTGGCCATCTTGGTTTTTGGCCTTGGCCATCTAGGTTTTTGGTCTTGGTCATCTAGGTTTTTGGTATTGGTCATCTTGGTTTTTGGCCTTGGTCATCTTGGTTTTTGGTATTGGCCATCTTGGTTTTTGGTCTTGGTCATCTTGGTTTTTGGTATTGGTCATCTTGGTTTTTGGTCTTGGCCATCTTGGTTTTTGACCATAGAACCTTGGTT